AAAATTTACTTTTTGTTTTGCAAAAAGTGTAATTTTTTACTGGTGTTGCAACGTGTAGTGTTACTGGTGTTTCAAAAAGGTCGTGTTAAATGGGGGTTCCCCAGTGTTTGTGTTTCTGGTGTTGCCAGTGTAGTGTTTCTTGGGGGAAATTTTTGTTTTTTTACAAGGGAGTGTTAAATGGTGTTTGAAAACGTGTAGTGTTTTCTGGTGTTTTCAAAAAGGTGTTTTGGGGTTTTCAAAATTTTTTGGGTTTCTGGTTTTTGCAAAGTTATGTTACCCCAATTTTTGTTACTGGTGGGTTCAAAAGGTGTTTTGGGGGTTTCTATTTTTTACAAGTAGTGTTAAAAATGGGTGTTTATGCAAAAGTTTTTATGTTAATGTGTTGCAAACAGTTTTAGTGGTTTTAAAATTTGCAAAAGTTGGTTTTTAAGGTGTTTTCAAACAGTGTAGTGTTACTTGGTTTTTGCCCAAAAGTGTAGTGTTTTACTGGGGTTGCAAAAAGTGGGATGGTTTTGGGGTTGCAACAGTGTAGTGGGTTTTTGGGGTTGCAACAGTGTAGGGGTTACTGGTGTTACAACAGTGTGTGGTTTCTGGTGTTGCAACGGGGTAGTTTACGGGGTTGGAAAATGTTTGTTTCTGGTGTTGCAACAGTTAGTTTTTTAATGGGGTTGCAACAAATGGGAGTGTTTAAATGGGGTTACAACAAAATGTTTTGGTTGGTTTCTGGGGTGTTCCCAGGTAGTTTTTTAAATTTGTTTCAAAAAGTGTATTTTACTGGGGTTCAAAAAGTGGGAGTGTTACTGGTGTTGCAACAGGGTAGTTGGGTTTCTGGGTTTTCAAAAGTTGAAATGTTTTCTGGTTTTTGCAAAAAGTGTAGTGTTACTGGGGTTGCAAAAGTGTAGTGTTTTTACTAGGTTTTTTAAAAATGTAGTGTTTCGGGTTTTTGAAAAAAATGTATTTGGGTTTTCCTGTGTTAGGAATTTTAAGTGTTGTGTTAAGGTTTTTGCAACATGTAGTGTTTTTGGTGTTGCCAAAAAGGGGGTGTTACTGGTGTTCAACATGTAGTGTTACTGGTGTTGGGAACAGGTATGTTAAATAGTGTTTTTCAAAGTATTTACTGTGTTCAAAAGTGGGAGTGTTAAATGGTGTTTTCAAAAAGTGTTGTTTTACGGGGGTTCAACATGTTTGGTTTCTGGTGTTTCAACAGTGTTTGTGTTTTTTGGTTTTTTCAAAAAAAAGTGTAAAATGTTTAAAAGGGGTTGCAACAGTGGGGTTTTTTTTACGGGGTTTGAACAGTTTTAGTGTTACGGTGTTTCAAACGTGTGGTTTTGGGGTTACGGTGTTAAAACAAAGTGAAAAAAGTGTTAAATGGTGTTTTCAACAGTGTAGTGTTTTGGGGGTTTTCAAAAAGTGAAAATGTTAAATGGGGTTACAAAGGGAGTGTTTTCTGGTGTTGCAACAGTGTGTGTTACTGGTGTTTCAAACAGTTGTGTTTTACTTTGTTGCAAAAAGGGGTAGTGTTACTGGTGGTTTAAAAATGTAGTGTTTCTGGTGTTAAAAAAGTGTTTTTGTGGTTTACTTTGGGTTTGGTAACAGTGAAAATTTTATGGGGTTGCAACAGTGAAATGTTATGGTTTTTGCAACAGGGAGTGTTACCCGGTGTTCAACGGGGTATTTTTTACTGGTTTTTGGGAACCGGGAGTGTTACTGGTGTTTGGGGAACCCGTGTAGTGTTACTGGTGGCAAAAGGGTAGTGGGTTCTTTTGTTGCAACAGTTTAGGGGTTAAAAATTTTTCGGTGTTGCAACAGTTTTAGTGTTTTGGTGTTGCAACGTGTAGTGTTAATTGGTTGGGTTTCAGGTTTGTGTTACGGGTTTCAAACATGAAATGTTTCTGGTGTTCAAAATAGTGTTACGGGGTTAAAAAAAAGGTTTTGGGGTTTTCAAAAAATTTGGGAAAAGGGAGTGAAAATTTGGGGTTTGCCCAACATGAATGTTACTGGGGTTGCCCAAAAAGTGGGGAAAAGGGTTTCTTGGGGGGTTAAAAAGTTTGTGTTAAATGGGGTTCAACGTTTTAAAGGAAGGGTGTTTTAAAAATTAGGAAAGGGTTAAAAAAAAGGAAAAAAAACCGGGGAAAAAAAAAGGTTTTTTACTGGGCCCCCAAAAGTTAAATTTTTTATCCCCCGTATTTAAAAATTTTAAATCCCCTTGTGAAAAAGGGAGTGTTAACCCCCTGTAAAAAGTGACTGGGAAACAGGTTTTGTGAAATGGGATATAAGGAAAAAGGTGTTCAAGGGAGTGTTTCTGGGGTTTCCCAAAAGAAATTTAAATTGGGGGCAAACAAATTTAGTGTTTCTGGTTTGCAAAAAACAAATTTCGGGAAAAACAGTGTTTTGTTATGGGTTGCAAAAAAGTAGTGAGGGTTTCGAGTGTTCCAAACAAATAGGTTAAATTTTTAAACAGGTGTGTTTTAAAGTGGGGTAGTGTTAAATTTGGGGGTTGCAACAGTTTAGTGGGTTTTGGTGTGCAAAAAGTGTATGTTACTGGTGTTGCAACAGTTGTTTTAATGGTGTTGCAAAAAAGTAGTGTTTTCTGGGTTGCAAAATGGGAGTGTTACAAGGTTGCAAAAAGTGAAATTGGTTTTCTGGGGTTTTCAACAGGAAATGGTTTTTGGGTTTCCCAAAAGTGGAAATGTTTCTGGGTTGGGAAACCTTTTAGTGTTATTGGGGGGCAACAGTGTAGGGGTTACTGGGTTCAAAGTTTCGTGTTTCAAAATTGTGTTTAACTTTTTAAAGTTAAATGGGTTTTTGTTCAAAAGTGTAGTGTTACTTGTTTAAAGTGAAGTGTTTTCTGGTTTTTGCAAAAAGTAAATGTTAATGGTGTTTTCAACATTTTAAAATGTTAAATGTTGGGTCAAGGGAGTGTTTCTTTGGGGTTGCAACAAAGTTGTGTTTCTGGTGTTTTTAAACAGGTGTTTACTGGGGTTCAACGTGGGAGTGTTAAATGGGGTTTCAACAGTGTAAATGTTAATTGGGGGCAAAAATTTGTGTTACTGGTGGGGTTTCAACAGTGTAGTGTTAAGGTGTTGCAAACAGGGTTTTTGTTACTGGGTTGCAAACAGTGTAAATGGGTTTCTGGTTGTTTCAAAAAGGTATTTTTACTGGGGTTTTTGGGAAAAGTTGGGAGTGTTACGGTGTTCAAACCCGTGAAATGTTACTGGTTTTTTGCAACAGGTAGTGTTTTCTGGGGTTACAAGTAGGTTACAAGTGGTTTCAACAGTGTAAGGGGTTTTTTTGTGGTTTTGACGGTGTGTTAACAAGTTTACAAAAATAGTTTTTACTGGTGTTGCAAACAGTTTTAGTGTTTTCTTTGGGGGTTTTTCAGTGTAGTGTTACGGGTTGCAACAGTTTTTAATTGGTTACTGGTGTTGCCAAAAGTGGGATTTTTTACTGGGTTCAACAGTTTTTAGGTGTTTAAATGGTTTTTTACCAAAAGGTAGTGTTTACGGTGTTGCAAAAGTGTAGTGTAGGGGAAACTGAGGTTTTTGGGTTCAAAAAGGTGGGGTTACTGGTGTTTGCAACAGTTTTTGTGGTTTCTAGGGGGTTCAAAAAGAAATGTTTTGGTTGCCCAAAAGTGGGGAGGTGTTACTGGGGTTTCAAAAAGGTTTTTTGTGTTTTCACGGGTGTTACAACAGTTTTGGTTACTGGTGTTGCAACAGTGTAAGTGTTACTGGTGTTTTTCAAAAAGTTTTAAATGTTACTGGGGTTCAAGTTAGTGTTATGGGGTTGCAACAAATTTTTGGTTTTTTGGGACGTTATTTGGTGTTTTTAAAAAGTGATTTTTACGGTGTTGCAAAAAATTTTAGTGTTATTTGGGTTACAAAATTTTTGATGTTTTACTGTAAAAAAAATGTTACTGGTTTTTGCAAAACAGTGTTTTGGGGGTTTTCTGGTAGTTTAGGGGGAAAAGTGGGTGGAAAACAGGGAATATGTTACAAATTTTACCTTTTTAAATTTTAGTGTTCCTGGTGTTTTTGGGTTTAAAAAGTGTTGGTTTTCGGATGTTGCAAAAAGTGTAAAAGTTACTGGGGTTTGAAAAAGAAATGTAAATGGTTTTTGCAACGTTTTAGTGTTTTCTGGGATTGGGAAAGTGAATGGAAACCTTTGCTTCAAGGGGAGTGTTATTTGGGTTGCAACAGTGTTTTGATTTTCATTTTTTGGGAAAATAGGCAAAAAGTGAAATGGGTTTAAAATTGGGCAAAGTAGTGTTTCTGGGGTTGGGGAAAAGTGTTGTGTTTCGTGGGTTTTTACAAAACCGGTTTAAGTGATTACTGGGGTTTCAACAGGTTTTAGTTTAATGGTGTTGCAACAGTGTAGTGTTACTGTTTTTGCAACAGGTAAATGAAAATTGGGGTTTTTTCAACAGTGTTGGTTACGGTGTTCAAAACAGTTGTAGGGGTTTTTCTGGGGTTTCCCAAAAGTTTTTAAGGGGTTAAAAAGGGGTTGCAACTGTGAGTGTTTTGGTTTTTAAAAACAGTGTAGTGTTTCTGGGGGTTTGCAAAAGTGGGTGTTACTGGTTTTTGCAAAACGTAAAGGTTTTTTTAACAGGTTTTTGGAAAAGGGGTTTTAAATGGGTTACTGGTGTTTGCAAAAGTGTAGTGTTACTGGGTTAAAAAAATTTGTTTAAAGGGGTTTTTAAACTGTTTTTTTTCAAAAAGGGAGTGTTACTGGTGTTGCCCAAAAGTGTAGTTAAGGTTGGGGTTTTCAACGGAAATGTTACTTTGTTGCAAAAGGAAGGGGTTAAAAGGTGTTCAACAGTGTAGTGTTTCTAGTGCTACAAGTAGTGTTACTGGTGTTACAAGTAGTGTTACTGGTGTTACAACACTGCATTGTTACTAGTGTTACAAGTAGTGTTACTGGTGTTACAACAGTGTAGTGTTACTGGTGTTACAATAGTGTTGTGTTACTGGTGTTACAACAGTGTTGTGTTACTGGTGTTGCAGGAAGGTGTCAGTCGTAGAGCTCGGAAGCGACACAAGGCGCGCCAGAAACAACGACCACTCACCTCCGAACAACTGCAGAAGCTCACTGCTCTACGCTGTCTTATGTCTGCCTCTGATGAGGTGAGCTTTATGTCTGATGAGGTGAGCTTTATGTCTGATGAGGTGAGCTTTATGTCTGATGAGGTGAGCTTTATGTCTGATGAGGTGAGCTTATGTCTGATGAGGTGAGCTTTATGTCTGATGAGGTGAGCTTTATGTCTGATGAGGTGAGCTTTATGTCTGATGAGGTGAGCTTTATGTCTTATGAGGTGAGCTTATGTCTGATGAGGTGAACTTTGATGAGGTGAGCTTTATGTCTGATGAGGTGAGCTTTATGTCGATGGGGGTAAGCTTTATGTTGATAGGTGAGCTTATGTCTGATGAGGTGAGCTTTATGTCTGATGAGGTGAACTTTGATGAGGTGAGCTTTATGTCTGATGAGGTGAGCTTTATGTCTGATGAGGTGAACTTTGTCTGATGAGGTGAGCTTTATGTCTGATGAGGTGAGCTTTATATCTGATGTGAACTTTGTCTGATGAGGTGAGCTTTATGTCTGATGAGTTGAACTTTGTCTGGTGAGGTGAGCTTTATGTCTGATGAGGTGAGCTTTATGTCTGATGAGGTGAGCTTTATGTCTGATGAGGTGAGCTTTATGTCTGATGAGGTGAGCTTTATGTCTGATGAGGTGAGCTTTATGTCTGATGAGTTGAGGTTTATGTCTGATGAGTCACCATATCAAAAACAATATACTCAGATCACAACATAATTGAGGTTCAGTCATGTATGCGCGGAGCCCCAGACCGACATAATGAGACTAGTCACGAGGGAGCATTCACCAAATTCAACTTCAATAACAAAAACATAAAGTGGGACCAAGTAAACCAAGTCCTAACCGATATAAGTTGGGAAGATATACTAAGCAACACAGACCCCAACTTATGCCTAGAACAGATTAACTCGGTGGCACTCGATGTATGCACAAGGCTTTTTTCCTCTAAGAAAAAGGAGGAGTAGATGTAAAATAGAAAGAGGGCAGGCGCTCCCTTTACAGGCGAAGGAAAAGAGTAACAGAGCGGCTAAAAGAGGTCAATATATTTTGAAATGCGTAGGGAGACACTGGTCAGAGAAATAGCAAGCATCGAACCTTAAGCTAAAGGAATCTTAATAGGAGTTCAGGAATCGCGGGAAGAACTAAAAGCCATAAATGAAATCAAAAGAAACCCAAAGTATTTCTTCTCCTATGCCCAAAACAAAGTCGAGAACAACGTCCAGTATTTGGCCCCTACTTAAACAAGATGGGTCCTACACAGATGACAGCAAGGAAATGAGTGAGCTACTCAAGTCCCAATATGAAATCAGTTTTTAGCGAGCGCTAAAACCCGACTGAGAGTCGAAGATCAAAATTAATTTTTATGAGAGAGCCACAAAATTTGGTTAACACAAGCCTATCCGATGTTATCCTGACGCCAAATGACTTCGAACAGGCGATAAATGATATGGCCATGCACTCTGCCCCAGGGCCAGACTCATGGAACTCCGTTTCATCAAGAACTGCAAGAAGCCCCTATCACGAGCCCTTTTTTCCCTCCTATGGAGAGGCAGCATGGACACGGGGGGTTTTCCCACAGTTACTAAAAACAACAGACATAGCCCCACTCCACAAAGGGGGCAGTAAAGCAACAGCAAAGAACTACAGACCGATAGCACTAACATCCCATATCATAAAAATCTTTGAAAGGGTCCCAAGAAGCAAGATCACCACCCATCTAGAAACCCATCAGTTACACAACCCAGGGTAACATGGGTTTAGAACAGGTCGCTCCTGTCTGTCTCAACTATTGGATCACTATGACAAGGTCCTAGATGCACTAGAAGACAAAAAGAATGCAGATGTAATATATACAGACTTTGCAAAAGCCTTCGACAAGTGTGACCATGGCGTAATAGCGCACAAAATGTGTGCTAAAGGAATAACAGGAAAAGTCGGTCGATGGATCTATAATTTCCTCACTAACAGAACACAGAGTAGTCATCAACAGAGTAAAGTCCAAGGCAGCTACGGTGAAAAGCTCTGTTCCACAAGGCACAGTACTCGCTCCCATCTTGTTCCTCATCCTCATATCCGAAATAGACAAGGATGTCAGCCACAGCACCGTGTCTTCCTTTGCAGATGACACCCGAATCTGCATGACAGTGTCTTCCATTGCAGACACTGCAAGGCTCCAGGCGGACATCAACCAAATCTTTCAGTGGGCTGCAGAAAACAATATGAAGTTCAACGATGAGAAATTTCAATTACTCAGATATGGTAAACAAGAGGAAATTAAAACTTTATCAGAGTACAAAACAAATTCTGGCCACAAAATAGAGCGAAACACCAATGTCAAAGACCTGGGAGTGATCATGTTGGAGGATCTCACCTTCAAGGACCATAACATTGTATCAATCGCATCTGCTAGAAAAATGACAGGATGGATAATGAGAACCTTCAAAACTAGGGATGCCAAGCCCATGATGACACTCTTCAGGTCACTTGTTCTATCTACGCTGGAATATTGCTGCACACTAACAGCACCTTTCAAGGCAGGTGAAATTGCTGACCTAGAAAATGTACAGAGAACTTTCACGGCGCACATAACGGAGATAAAACACCTCAATTACTGGGAGCGCTTGAGGTTCCTAAACCTGTATTCCCTGGAACGCAGGAGGGAGAGATACATGATTATATACACCTGGAATATCCTAGAGGGACTAGTACCGAACTTGCACACGAAAATCACCCACTACGAAAGCAAAATACTTGGCAGACGATGCACCATCCCCCCAATGAAAAGCAGGGGTGTCACTAGCACGTTAAGAGACCATACAATAAGTGTCAGGGGCCCGAGACTGTTCAACTGCCTCCCAGCACACATAAGGGGGATTACCAACAGACCCCTGGCAGTCTTCAAGCTGGCACTGGACAAGCACCTATAATCGGTTCCTGACCAGCCGGGCTGAAGGTTATGTACATGTCCTTCACGACTACGTCAACTACTACTACCACTAACCCATCTCTTTGGGAAGGACCTACTTCCACTGGAGAATCCCGCCTACCAGTGAATATGCCCTCGTCTGCTACACCTGACGTTACTATATAAGCGCCAGGATTCTTTCTTCTGCTTCAGAATCTCCACGACTATGGTGCTGTTCGCACCTACTCCTAGGTTGAGGGACTGATTACCTCATCTTCTGTATATAGTTCTACTATCTTCAAGTTATGTCCTAGAATTTGTACTGATAAAGCCACTGGATGGCGAAACGTCTACAATAAAGATACCCAGATGTTGCACAAGTGTCTTACTCTCATCTTGTCGGTATTATATACCATTCGTACACAAAGCTCCACTATATACAAGGGTTATAAAGCTCCACTATATACAAGGGTTGTTATAAAGCTCCACTATATACAAGGGTTGTTATAAAGCTCCACTATATACAGTGGTTGTTATAAAGCTCCACTATATACAAGGGTTGTTATAAAGCTCCACTATATACAGTGGTTGTTATAAAGCTCCACTATATACAAGGGTTGTTATAAAGCTCCACTATATACAAGGGTTGTTATAAAGCTCCACTATATACAAGGGTTGTTATAAAGCTCCACTATATACAAGGGTTCTTATAAAGCTCCACTATATACAATGGTTGTTATAAAGCTCCACTATATACAAGGGTTATAAAGCTCCACTATATACAGTGGTTATAAAGCTCCACTATATACAAGGGTTGTTATAAAGCTCCACTATATACAAGGGTTGTTATAAAGCTCCACTATATACAAAGGTTGTTATAAAGCTCCACTATATACAAGGGTTCTTATAAAGCTCCACTATATACAATGGTTGTTATAAAGCTCCACTATATACAAGGGTTGTTATAAAGCTCCACTATATACAGTGGTTGTTATAAAGCTCCACTATATACAAAGGTTGTTATAAAGCTCCACTATATACAAAGGTTGTTATAAAGCTCCACTATATACAAGGGTTATAAAGCTCCACTATATACAATGGTTGTTATAAAGCTCCACTATATACAAGGGTTGTTATAAAGCTCCACTATATACAGTGGTTGTTATAAAGCTCCACTATATACAAGGGTTGTTATAAAGCTCCACTATATACAATGGTTGTTATAAAGCTCCACTATATACAAGGGTTGTTATAAAGCTCCACTATATACAAGGGTTCTTATAAAGCTCCACTATATACAAGGGTTGTTATAAAGCTCCACTATATACAAGGGTTGTTATAAAGCTCCACTATATTCTGGTTATATTACAGCGTTATGAGCTGGAGAGCTTGGTTGAAGAGCTGTGTTCCCGCCTCAAGTCCGCCACCAACAAAGTTCACCTTAATGCCAGCAACGGCAGCGTCGCTGTATGCACCAAGCAAGTTGTTGGTGCTGGTGCCAGGTGCACCGCCGACCTGGATGACTACACTTCATCCTCCACCCCCGAGGAGCAGGCAGAGAGGTGAGCTGGAGCTTTGTCATTCCTGGGTCGCACGGTAGAGGGGTCACCTTGACTGATGATATAGTTGGGGGTCAGTCCCTCAGAGAGAGAGAGAGAGAGAGAGAGAGAGAGAGAGAGAGAGAGAATTATGGGGGTTAGTCCCTTATAGAATGAGAGAGGGTAAGTCCTTACACTTGCTGTCTATGTTCACCTAGCAGTAAGTAGGTACCTGGGTGTTAGTCATCTTACACCTGCTGTCACTGTTCACCCAGCAGTAAGTAGGTACCTGGGTATTAGTCACTTTACACCTGCTGTCATTGTTCACCTAGCAGTAAGCAGGTACCTGGGTGTTAGTCACCTTACATGATGATATACACTGAGACATGAGAACCACATACATACATTATACTTGGAGGTGTATACTTCAGGGTATTTTCACTGTGTATTGAGTACACTACTTTAAGGTATTAAAATACAGCCGCTCCTTGATTTACATCAGTGTTACGTTCCAACGAACCCGCTGTAAGTTGAGATTAAGACACATGTGCAACATCTGGGTATCTTTATTGTAGACGTTTCGCCATCCAGTGGCTTTATCAATACAAATTCTAGGAAATAACTTGAAGACAGTAGAACTATATACAGAAGATGAGGTAATCAGTCCCTCAACCTAGGAGTAGGTGCGAAGAGCACCATAGTCTATGGTTGAGGGACTGATTACCTCATCTTCTGTACATAGTTCTACTGTCTTCAAGTTATGTCCTAGAATTTGTATTGATAAAGCCACTGGATGGCGAAACGTCTACAATAAAGATACCCAGATGTTGCACATGTGTCTTAATCTCATCTTGTCGGTATTATATACCATTCGTACACCGCTGTAAGTTGAAAATATCGAGAGTCGAGTATGAATATGATGCGCTAAATAAAGAAATGTCACCGAATAAATAAATACTGTAACTAACTACCAGTATTGAAAAGTCAGTATATGAATATAAGTTAGTAGGGACTTAACACCTCATAATGGGTAATTATCTTAAGTTTCATCTCCGAAGTATTTGCTCTGACACCATCATATGTTTTCTCCAAGGCTGATAGACTGATTACTTAATCTTATTTCATTACCACAGCTCCCTTTGTATGTGACTGAAGAAGCCTAGTGTGTGGGTGTAATATTTTATCAGTAAAGATACCCAACTATTGGACATGTGTCTTGATCTTCAACTTTGTCGGTATTTTATACCATTTTCAACAATACCGTTGTGAAGTTGAAATATTGTAAGTCAAGGAGAGTCTGATGTAGTAGATAGTTTAAACCTCGGTAATCAGTGCTTGTTTTGGTTGCAGGTACTATGCAGCGTTCCCACCTCTAGGTGGGTCTTGCAAAGGGCATTGCCTTGATAAGTCTTGCAAGACTGGGCATGATCTCTGTCCGTGTGTGTGGGAAGGCAAGAAATCCTCATTTGTAATAGAGGATCAGGGTATGCCAGGCAGCACCGTCAAGATGCAACGGACGCATCGCAAGAAGTGCCGCGAGAAGGATAAGAGGGAGGCAGGGGACCAGCTGGACGACTTGTCCCGGGGCCACCTAGTGCCGTTCACCTGGCGCCCTGCTGTCAAGCATAAGGAGGCACTCTTTGGTGAGAGTTACGACACTGACAGTGCCTCGGAGACCGAGAGGAACCTAGAGCGGAGACGCAAGAAATTCACTGGACCGCTGCTGGATGAGGACATCGGAGAAGGTTACATCGGAGACACCAGCTCCAGGGAGAGCTCAGAGGACAGGGATAAAGGGGACCAGGATGTTGACAAGGCCAGGGAGGAGAAATGTGATAAAACTGGTGGAAACACAGAGAAAGTGAAGAGAAATGAGGAGTGGGAATGTATGGGAGACTTGCTCCTGGCAGTTAGTGGCAGTGATAGTAATGATCAGCAAGGTGGTGGTGGTGGCAGTGGTGGTGGTGACGATGGTGGTGGTGGAAGTCGACTGTTTGAACGTGGCAGCACCACCGACGGCAGTAGCAGCTCTAGTAGTGATAGTGACACCCAGGAGGCAGAAAGCGTCAGGCAACTGGAGGAGAAAATCTGTAGTTCGGTGGCTCAGGTGTGGGGTCAGGGAGAGTGTGGGGGTCACAGCTGTGGGGACCACGTGTGGGACCCACCAGGTCTTCAAGACATGCCTCACCTTCCCACCGTGTGGGGCTTAAACCTTGCCAAAGCGAACGACACGTGCATTGCCGGTGAGCACGGCAGTGACGTCGCAGTGCCGGCCTTCACCCCCGTTGACGATGCCTGGCACCGCAACCACTCGTGGCACCATGTCAACCCCATCACAGAAGAAGACCCTCTTTGCACTCTATCAAATCAGAGTCCCATCTGTAACTTCCAAGACAACTCAAAAGACTCTACCACTCTTCTCCACCTACACAATAGCCTACAAAAGTCCATATGGTCGGACTACAATGCTAACAACATCTCTGGTAACGAAGGCACGCTTCTCGTCTGCATGGATGACTATAGCCTCAGCAATAGTCTAGAACCGTATCAAGACCATGACCGTAATTGTCACACGACGGAGGAGTTGGAAAATAAGTTGTGCGAATCATTCATGCAGATGGGTTTAGAAAATATCTGGGATAATACGTTGGGTCTGGAAGGTGTCTTCGCAGAGTTCAGCGTCAGTACCAGCAATTTGGAATGTCCCTCGGAGAACAGTAGTCATGGAGAACTGACGCAAGACAGCCAGACAGACTCTGAACACGAAAAGATGATGGCGCTTGTGGAGGACGTGTGCAAAAGTTACGAATCTCAGGAGGAGGTTCTGACAGACAGTTCTGCTGGCAAGCCAGTGCCTTCGGGTCCCAGTGGGCCCCAGGCTGATCTCCGCCACACAGAGAACAGTGGCTTCTCCATGGTCATCCCTAGAGGCAAGAGTGCTGAACCAGCTCCATCTGTGGAACAGGCGGCGGAAAACCTGCTGGGGTCAGGCGGCGACGCTTCAGGCCATGAAGACGCGCTGGAGAACGTGGATGCATTACCCACGACCCATGAAGAGGAAAACTTATTAACGTCCCCACGAACACACTTCCGACCAATCCGACAAGATAGCATAGGCAGCACCGCTGACGATCACTATGAGGATGGCACCATGTTCATGGTGAACTCTGAACGTCCAGATCTGCCCTTTCAGCGGACTAGTAGCGGAACACTCTTCCTGGAGAGTGATATATTGGAAGGATCACCCAAGAAGTACATGGTGTACAAGGAACCAGTGCTCAAGATAGTGCACACGGAGGAACAAGAGGTGGTAGCACAGGAAACTGTTCCACTCATTGCTTTAGTTCCAAAATTCAAAGTGGTGAACAATGAAAAGTTTTGCCAAACTGAAGAGGACACTTCACAGAGTGAAGTGCGTTCTTTACCCCTTAGTGTGGACCAGAAAGTTAGCCTGCGTGAAAGAACCGGTCTGAAAGACCATTTCCCACATAAATGTGACGAACAGGAACCAGACGTGTTTGGGTTCCAGCAACAAGACTTTCCTGACAGTAATCTGGCCAGTATATGGAAGAGTGAAGCTCATCTGGTAGATGCTGCCTACTCACAGAACATCTGGCAGGTACAAGCGCACCAGGAGAGGGACGACACCTGGCCGAGGTTGAACGACCCAGAGACTGGAGGAATTGTGGGTAATTCGTGGGTTGAGAGGGAGAGGGAGGGTGCCACTGGCTGGAGCAGCGAGGGCCACTTTGAACCCCAACCAGAGCGCAATGTTAGTGCCAAGTCCCAGGCTGTTGTCATACCCACATCCTTGGCATCACTGTGGCACCGTAACAACTCCTCTGCATCCCCCAGCATTCCCTCCTCCATGACTAGCCTTCAGGCACTCTGGAGTGCTTGCAACGCACATGCTAATGAGGATTCAGAGTGTGACGTCAACAGGGCCAACATGTACGTGATATCCAACCCCACCACGTACATACCAGGTAAGCTGCAGGATAACCACCATATGATAGCTGGGCTGACACAGGATGGACCCTGGAAGCCAGTCATCAACGTGAACAAGAGTGGCGACGCCAAGAATGACAAGATTTGGTCGGAAAGTTCTCGCACCGCTGACGGAACAACTCTCAGTCTTGACACTGTGCCAGCAAGGTAAGTCTTGACAATGCTATCAGCAATATTGATGTCAGTTGTCTTACAAAGCTCTATATACAGTGGTACCCCAAGTTTCAGCCATAATTCATTCCACAAGGCTGAGTGCCGTTACCGAACAAATTTGGTCCCATAAAGAATAATGTAAATTAGATTAGTCTGTTTCAGACCCCCAAAAATACACTTACAAAAATACACTTACAAAAATACACTTACAAAAGTACTTACAGAAATACACTTACATAATTGTTCGAGTTGGGAGCTGTACGAAACTCGGGGAACCACTGTACAGTGGAACCTCAGTACTCGAACAATTCAGTATTCGAACGCTTTGTTCAGTAAACAAATCGCTCGGTAGTCAATCGTTTGCTCAGCACTCAGCCAAACAAACAAACCTGCCAGAACTTTGCTGTTAACTATTTCATGTCTCTTTGCATTTTTTGGTGTTTTTTCTTTATATTATTTGTATAAATAAGTCACCATGGGGCCTAAGAGGGTTAGTGATAACAGCCAAAAAGAAAATTGGTTTGGAAAAATTCGTCCAGTACTCGGACAAAGCAGCACTCGAACACCCTTCTGGAACCAGATAAGTTTGAGTGCTGACATTCCACTGTACAGTCAGGTCTCTTGTGACTGCAAGGCCTGGTCGTGGACTGGGCCATGGGGGCATTGACCCCTGAAACCCCCTCTAGGTATACAGTCAGTTTTCTTATAAACTTCCTGTATATACAGTCAGTTCTCTTATACACCTCCTGTATATACAGTCAGCTTTCCCTGACTAACTCAAAACAGTCACCTTGTTCACACTCCAGCTTCATAAAACTCACCACCCACTATTAACACAATCCTGCTTGGTGCTCAAGCCTCCAGCACTCGAAGCCTCTCTAACCCTTCCCCTCCAACCATTCTGGGGACAATCTCTTTAACACTGTCCACACCCTGACATTAATGTTGCTCTCGGTGTGCACTTGTTTTTAAATTCTGAAATGGTAGAGAATGTTTTTCTGAAATTATTGATGTCAAAAGTATGAAATTTGATGGAAAACTAATGGTGTTATGATGGTATAAATTTAGCAGTCTCGTCAGAATTTATGCAACTGCAATTTCACCAAATTTGAATCCTGTTTTAAGTCAGTTTTATTGTTCTAGTCGACCAAATTCTGTTTCAGCAATATTCTTCTTTCTTTCAACACACCGGCTGTATCCCACCAAGGCAGGGTGGCCCAAAAAGAAAAACAAAAGTTTATCTTTAAATTTAGTCATTTATACGGGAGAAGGGGTTACTAGCCCCTTGCTCCCGTTTCAGCAATATGTCTTCCATTATATCAAATGCTACCAAGAAATAGCCAATAAAACCATAAAAAAGCCATCTGAGAAAACATCTTAAAATCACTATTGTAAACCAGACACAAGGTCACAGTTTTGTTTTTCCCATCATGCAGTGCGTGGGGGCAGGATTTATATTATATTGTGCACGCTCACCACACAACGTTCATATCTAACACAATATTTACCACTCACAACTTATCTAGGTGAGTTGAGCTCATGTGAGGGACCCTGGTGTCAGTAACATAGATCTATGTTAGGGACCCTGGTGTCAGTAACATAGATCTATGTTAGGGACCCTGGTGTCAGTAACATAGATCTGTGTTAGGGACCCTGGTGTCAGTAACATAGATCTATGTTAGGGACCCTGGTGTCAGTAACATAGATCTATGTGAGGGACCCTGGTGTCAGTAACATAGATCTATGTTAGGGACCCTGGTGTCAGTAACATAGATCTATGTTAGGGACCCTGGTGTCAGTAACATAGATCTGTGTTAGGGACCCTGGTGTCAGTAACATAGATCTATGTGAGGGACCCTGGTGTCAGTAACATAGATCTATGTTAGGGACCCTGGTGTCAGTAACATAGATCTATGTTAGGGACCCTGGTGTCAGATAACATAGATCTATGTTAGGGACCCTGGTGTCAGTAACATAGATCTATGTGAGGGACCCTGGTGTCAGTAACATAGATCTATGTGAGGGACCCTGGTGTCAGTAACATAGATCTATGTTAGGGACCCTGGTGTCAGTAACATAGATCTATGTTAGGGACCCTGGTGTCAGTAACATAGATCTATGTGAGGGACCCTGGTGTCAGTAACATAGATCTATGTGAGGGACCCTGGTGTCAGTAACATCGATCTATGTGAGGGATCCTGGTGTCAGTAACATACATCTATGTTAGGGACCCTGGTGTCAGTAACATCGATCTATGTGAGGGACCCTGGTGTCAGTAACATACATCTATGTTAGGGACCCTGGTGTCAGTAACATCGATCTATGTGAGGGATCCTGGTGTCAGTAACATACATCTATGTTAGGGACCCTGGTGTCAGTAACATCGATCTATGTGAGGGACCCTGGTGTCAGTAACATAGATCTATGTGAGGGACCCTGGTGTCAGTAACATAGATCTATGTGAGGGACCCTAGTGTCAGTAACATAGATCTATGTGAGGGACCCTGGTGTCAGTAACATAGATCTATGTGAGGGATCCTGGTGTCAGTAACATAGATCTATGTGAGGGACCCTGGTGTCAGTAACATAGATCTATGTGAGGGACCCTGGTGTCAGTAACATAGATCTATGTGAGGGACCCTGGTGTCAGTAACATAGATCTATATGAGGGACCCTGGTGTCAGTAACATAGATCTATGTTAGGGACCCTGGTGTCAGTAACATAGATCTATGTGAGGGACCCTGGTGTCAGTAACATAGATCTATGTTAGGGACCCTGGTGTCAGTAACATAGATCTATGTTAGGGACCCTGGTGTCAGTAACATAGATCTATGTGAGGGACCCTGGTGTCAGTAACATAGATCTATGTTAGGGACCCTGGTGTCAGTAACATAGATCTATTTGACGGTCACTCTGAAGGTTAATCAGTTTTATTAAATGTATTTTAAAATGTATTTTTATAAGTAAATAAGAGATTAGTCAGCTAATTTCTTCATAAGTATGATAGAAAAATGTTTTAGCTTATTACAAACACTGGTAGGAAATTGTAGGTAGGTTGTATGTGGCTGTAAGTTTGTCAGACTGTGGAGCACAACTCCTCTGGCTGAGGGACTGATCACCTCAAAACTACGTGTTCAAGGGTGATGGCCTGATTACATTGTCTTTACGTCTCCACCGCCTTTGCTGTATTCCACTGAATAAACCCACTGTCGAGGAGGAACATTTCGTAATTAAGATTCCTGAATGTTGCACACGTATGTGAAACATTTCATAATAAAGATACCTGTTGCAAACGTGTGTTATCAACATCAGCAGACGACAGACGTGGCCATAAAGTCAGGACTACCGCTTCTGGGTAGTTTTTTCTTTACACGTATATTCCTATCCTAAAATATATACAGTGTTAAACCATCAGTATAACAATAATAAGTGTGGAAAGAGGCACTCATAAGAGTAAGTCACACTTGAGAAGTACCACTGCTGGGTAGTTTGTTCTCCACTCATATATTCCTTAAAACATATACATTACAGTGGACCCCCGCATAACAATTACCTCCGAATGTGACCAATTATGTAAGTGTATTTATGTAAGTGCGTTTGTACGTGTATGTTTGGGGGTCTGAAATGGACTAATCTACTTCACAATATTTCTTATGGGAACAAATTCGGTCAGTACTGGCACCTGAACATACTTCTGGAGTGAAAAAATATCGTTAACCGGGGATCCACTGTATATACGAAGTTAATCTATCAATATGACATTACTAGACCTTGCCACCTTACATGCTATTGGTTGCTTCAACTTGACAGTACAGCAGTGTGGCCCTAGAACTGCTGTAGTCTGATTTGCCAGTTGATTGGTTGAGAGCATACGCTAATGTGACTGGTGAATGCTGAATGAATTGTAACATACGCGGAGTACATTACAACATTGACTTATACAGTACCTGATGTTGTTGTGGCAATGTATAAACTACAACTTTGACTCACAGTAGAACCCCCATATCCACTGATTCAGTATCCATGATTTCAGTTATCCATAGTTTACTATGGCTCAAAAATACCTCTTAATTTTGCATAATAATGGCCTCAAAGTGCAAAATTAGAGAAGCTGTGAAGTGCTTCCCATCAGTGACAAAGTGATAGTTCTCCACTAATTGTACATAATCTATCAATTAAAGTTTATAATAGGTATGTATAGGACTTACATATAGGGTTTACTACTATCCACGGTTCAGGATTCACGGCAGGTCCTTGAAACATATCCACCGTGGATATGGGGGTCCTACTGTATACAGTACGCGATGTTGTAGTAATGTATAAACATTGACTTATACAACATATGTAGCACTTTGTAAACATCATCAACAAAAATATTGACTTGTATAACATGATGATGTTGTATAAACAATAAAATTGACTTACACAACACCTGCACTGAATCATATACAACACCTGATGTTGTGTCATTGTATAAACATCAGTATCTTCCTGCTAGACACTACATTATCACACCTCAAATTTCTACTTACCTCACATTCCTCAGCTGCTGTATTACCCCTGTGGGTTTGGCCCTTCCCCACAGTAATTAAAATATGCTGGTAACTGAGTGATTGTCACTGTGTTTTCTTCTTTAAGTCTCGCCACTTGATCTTTACTAATGTCTTGTTTTGTGGTGCCAGGAGTGTCATTGTAGGAGTGTATGGCGACGCACCAGAAGCATGCACAGAACTACGCCTGGAGGTGCAACAAGAGGCTGACGAACTACTAGGTGCCGTGCATGCCCACACCTCTCACGAGAGCACCATGCACCCTGACGTCGTGCACTCGCTGCTTGCCGATGAATCGCACTCACTGCCTCCACTCCATGAACGGCTCAAGAAATATTCATGCAGCAATCCAGTTAGCAAGACAGCGAGCTGTGGCATCCCAGAGTGGCGGAGTAAGCCGGCATCAGCGGCTGGTGCTGAACGTGAGGACCTGGATGACCTGGCGCCGGACTGGCAATTGAATGATGGATTTGAGTGGGGACCCCAGTCTACTACCAGTCATCTTACGGTAGGTACAGTTACTGCAGTCTACTACCAGTCATGGTAGGTACGATTACTGTTAGTGGTAACAGTGCAGCTGCAGCATCTACAGTGTAATAATAATTATAATAATTGTGGAAACTTATGAGGTAGTGGACTCTGATTAACTGGGACACCTGTGGTCCACTTTGGTAAAGGTGACTGGGATACCTGTGGTCCACTTCTTCTGAAATTCTAACTGGGACACAGGACCAGTGGTCACCACTTGCCAGTGTACACATTGGAACATTTTTACTTGAGGTGGAGTGTTAATAGCTAGAAAACATCTTGGAGACTATCTCAGGCTATCACATCTTGGAGACTATCCCAGACTATCACATCTTGGAGACTATCTCAGGCTATCACATCTTGGAGACTATCCCAGGCTATCACATCTTGGAGACTATCCCAGGCTATCACATCTTGGAGACTATCCCAGGCTATCACATCTTGGAGACTATCCCAGGCTATCACATCTTGGAGACTATCCCAGCCCCATTTATACAGCAGGTTAGGTTTATGGCTACTGTAGGGCCCCACTTATACAACAGGTTTGGTTTATGGCTACTGTAGGGCCCCACTTATACAGCAGGTTAGGTTCATAGCTACTGTAGGGCCCCATTTATACAGCAGGTTAGGTTCATAGCTACTGTAGGGCCCCACTTATACAACAAGTTAGGTTCATGGCTACTGTAGGGCCCCACTTATACAACAAGTTAGGTTCATAGCTACTGTAGGGCCCCATTTATACAGCAGGTTAGGTTTCATGGCTTACTGTAGGGCCCCACTTATACAACAAGTTAGGTTCATGGCTACTGTAGGGCCCCACTTATACAACAAGTTAGGTTCATGGCTACTGTAGGGCCCCACTTATACAACAAGTTAGGTTCATGGCTACTGTAGGGCCCCATTTATACAGCAGGTTAGGTTCATGGCTACTGTAGGGCCCCACTTATACAAGAAGTTAGGTTCATGGCTACTGTAGGGCCCCACTTGTACAACAAGTTAGGTTCATAGCTACTGTAGGACCCCACTTATACAACAGGTTAGGTGCTGGGCTGTTGTAGGGCCCCGCTTATACAGTAGGTTAGGTTCTGGGCTACTGTTCGGCCCTGCTTATACAGCAGGTTAGGTTCTGGGCTGCTGTAGGGCCCTGCTTATACAGCAGGTTAGGTTCTGGGCTGCTGTAGGGCCCCACTTATGCAGCATGTTAAGTTGTGGACTACTGTAGGGCCCTGCTTATACAGCAGGTTAGGTTCTGGGCTACTGTAGGGCACCACCTATACAGCAGGTTATTTTGGGGGCTACTGTTGTGCCCCACTTACACAGCAGGTTAGGTTGTGAGCTACTGTAAGGCCCCACTTATACAGCAGGTTAGGTTGTGGGGTACTGTAAGGCCCCACTTATACAGCAGGTTAGGTTGTGGACTACTGTAAGGCCCGACTTATACAGGTTAGGTTGTGGACTACTGTAAGGCCCCACTTATACAGGTTAGGTTGTGGACTACTGTAAGGCCCCACTTATACAGCAGGTTAGGTTGTGGACTACTGTAAGGCCCCACTTATACAGCAGGTTAGGTTGTGGGCTACTGTAAGGCCCCACTTATACAGGTTAGGTTGTGGACTACTGTAAGGCCCCACTTATACAGCAGGTTAGGTTGTGGACTACTGTAAGGCCCCACTTATACAGCAGGTTAGGTTGTGGACTACTGTAAGGCCCCACTTATACAGCAGGTTAGGTTGTGGGCTACTGTAAGGCCCCACTTATACAGCAGGTTAGGTTGTGGACTACTGTAAGGCCCCACTTATGCAGCAGGTTAGGTTGTGGACTACTGTAAGGCCCACTTATACAGCAGGTTAGGTTGTGGACTACTGTAAGGCCCCACTTATACAGCAGGTTAGGTTGTGGACTACTGTAAGGCCCCACTTATACAGCAGGTTAGGTTGTGGACTACTGTAAGGCCCCACTTATACAGCAGGTTAGGTTGTGGGCTACTGTAAGGCCCCACTTATACAGCAGGTTGTGGACTACTGTAGGGCCCCACTTATACAGCAGGTTGTGGACTACTGTAGGGCCCCACTTATACAGCAGGTTGTGGACTACTGTAAGGCCCCACTTATACAGCAGGTTGTGGACTACTGTAAGGCCCCACTTATACAGCAGGTTGTGGACTACTGTAAGGCCCCACTTATACAGCAGGTTGTGGACTACTGTAAGGCCCCACTTATACAGCAGGTTGTGGACTACTGTAGGGCCCCACTTATACAGCAGGTTGTGGACTACTGTAGGGCCCCACTTATACAGCAGGTTGTGGACTACTGTAAGGCCCCACTTATACAGCAGGTTGTGGACTACTGTAAGGCCCCACTTATACAGCAGGTTGTGGACTACTGTAAGGCCCCACTTATACAGCAAGTTGTGGACTACTGTAAGGCCCCACTTATACAGCAGGTTGTGGACTACTGCTCTAAAGTGAAACATAGCCTTTTTTTTACATTTTCAAATATAATTATAAAAGCCTGATAACATGTCTACACGATTATATATAAAGTGAGCAGTGAAAGTAGGCCTGAAAAATGCATACACAGCACAAACGTTTATATTTATTAAAGCAAGTCTGAATAAATGAATTATTATTATTATTATCAAAACTCCTTTATTAGTGAAAACTCCTGTATTAGTGAAATTCTGTGAGGCGAAGCGCTGTAAAATGAAGCGCTGTGAAGCAGAGCGCTGTAATGTGGGGCCTGCCTGGACTATATGACTTGGGACGTTACTGTAAGTAAATAAATCACTCCACCGTCTTTAGAGTGACCTACCCTAAGGTGGTGCTTTGTCATGCTTATAACCCATACACTAAATTATCGCAGTGTTCCTCTCCGTAGTTTCTGTGACCACCTAAGTAGACGAGTTGAATATAAAGGGATAACCTCACAGATGTGGTCTGGCATAGAGATGAAGTAAACAAACTGTAGGATAGGTGGGATTTGAACTCATGGCAGTGAGTAAGCCACTCACTCACCATGGCAGTGAGTAAGCCACTCACTCACCATGGCAGTGAGTAAGCCACTCACTCACCATGGCAGTGAGTAAGCCACTCACCATGGCAGTGAGTAAGCCACTCGCTCACCATGGCAGTGAGTAAGCCACTCACCATGGCAGTGAGTAAGCCACTCACTCACCATGGCAGTGAGTAAGCCACTCACATCACCATGGCAGTGAGTAAAGCCACTCACTCACCATGGCAGTGAGTAAGCCACTCACTCACCATGGCAGTGAGTAAGCCACTCACTCACCATGGCAGTGAGTAAGCCACTCACTCACCATGGCAGTGAGTAAGCCACTCACTCACCATGGCAGTGAGTAAGCCACCACACTCACCATGGCAGTGAGTAAGCCACTCACTCACCATGGCAGTGAGTAAGCCACTCGCTCACCATGGCAGTGAGTAAGCCACTCGCTCACCATGGCAGTGAGTAAGCCACTCACCATGGCAGTGAGTAAGCTGCTCGCTCACCATGGCAGTGAGTAAGCCACTCGCTCACCATGGCAGTGAGTAAGCCACTCACCATGGCAGTGAGTAAGCCACTCGCTCACCATGGCAGTGAGTAAGCCACTCACCATGGCAGTGAGTAAGCTGCTCGCTCACCATGGCAGTGAGTAAGTCACTCACTGACCATGGCAGTGAGTAAGCCACTCACCATGGCAGTGAGTAAGCCACTCGCTCACCATGGCAGTGAGTAAGCCACTCACCATGGCAGTGAGTAAGCTGCTCGCTCACCATGGCATGAGTAAGCCACTCGCTCACCATGGCAGTGAGTAAGCCCCTACCATGGCAGTGAGTAAGCCACTCGCTCACCATGGCAGTGAGTAAGCCACTCACCATGGCAGTGAGTAAGCTCGCTCGCTCACCATGGCAGTGAGTAAGTCACTCACTGACCATGGCAGTGAGTAAGCCACTCACCATGGCAGTGAGTAAGCCACTCACCATGGCAGTGAGTAAGTCACTCACCATGGCAGTGAGTAAGCCACTCACTCACCATGGCAGTGAGTAAGCCACTCACTCACCATGGCAGTGAGTAAGCCACTCACCATGGCAGTGAGTAAGCCACTCGCTCACCATGGCAGTAAGTCACTCACCATGGCAGTGAGTAAGCCACTCGCCATGGCAGTGAGTAAGCCACTCACCATGGCAGTGAGTAAGCCACTCACCATGGCAGTGAGTAAGCCACTCACTCACCATGGCAGTGAGTAAGCCACTCGCTCACCATGGCAGTGAGTAAGCCACTCACTCACCATGGCAGTGAGTAAGTCACTCGCTTACCATGGCAATAAGCCACTCACCATGGCAGTGAGTAAGCCACTCACTCACCATGGCAGTGAGTAAGCCACTCACTCACCATGGCAGTGAGTAAGCCACTCACCATGGCAGTGAGTAAGCCACTCACCATGGCAGTGAGTAAGCCACTCGCTTACCATGGCAGTGAGTAAGCCACTCGCTACACCATGGCAGTGAGTAAGCCACTCGCTCACCATGGCAGTGAGTAAGCCACTCACCATGGCAGTGAGTAAGCCACTCACTCACCATGGCAGTGAGTAAGCCACTCACTCACCATGGCAGTGATTAAGCCACTCACTCACCATGGCAGTGAGTAAGCCACTCACCATGGCAGTGAGTAAGCCACTCACTCACCATGGCAGTGAGTAAGCCACTCACCATGGCAGTGATTAAGCCACTCACTCACCATGGCAGTGAGTAAGCCCACTCACATCACCATGGCAGTGAGTAAGCCACTCACCATGGCAGTGAGTAAGCCACTCACTCACCATGGCAGTGAGTAAGCCACTTACTCACCATGGCAGTGAGTAAGCCACTCACCATGGCAGTGAGTAAGCCACTCACTCACCATGGCAGTGATTAAGCCACTCACTCACCATGGCAGTGAGTAAGCCACTCACCATGGCAGTGAGTAAGCCACTCACTCACCATGGCAGTGAGTAAGCCACTCACTCACCATGGCAGTGATTAAGCCACTCACTCACCATGGCAGTGAGTAAGCCACTCACCATGGCAGTGAGTAAGCCACTCACTCACCATGGCATGAGTAAGCCACTCACATCACCATGGCAGTGAGTAACCACTCACCATGGCAGTGAGTAAGCCACTCACTACACCATGGCAGTGATTAAGCCACTCACTCACCATGGCAGTGAGTAAGCCACTCACCATGGCAGTGAGTAAGCCACTCACATCACCATGGCAGTGAGTAAGTCCACTCACTCACCATGGCAGTGAGTAAGCCACTCACCATGGCAGTGAGTAAGCCACTCACTCACCATGGCAGTGATTAAGCCACTCACTCACCATGGCAGTGAGTAAGCCACTCACCCATGGCAGTGAGTAAGCCACTCACTCACCATGGCAGTGAGTAAGCCACTCACTCACCATGGCAGTGAGTAAGCCACTCACCATGGCAGTGAGTAAGCCACTCACCATGGCAGTGATTAAGCCACTCACTCACCATGGCAGTGAGTAAGCCACTCACCATGGCAGTGAGTAAGCCACTCACTCACCATGGCAGTGAGTTAAGCCACTCACTCACCATGGCAGTGATTAAGCCACTCACTCACCATGGCAGTGAGTAAGCCACTCCCCATGGCAGTGAGTAAGCCACTCACCATGGCAGTGAGTAAGCCACTCACCATGGCAGTGAGTAAGCCACTCACCATGGCAGTGAGTAAGCCACTCACCATGGCAGTGAGTAAGCCATCCACCATGGCAGTGAGTAAGCCACTCACCATGGCAGTGAGTAAGCCACTCACCAGGCAGTGAGTAAGCCACTCACCATGGCAGTGATTAAGCCACTCACCATGGCAGTGAGTAAGCCACTCACCATGGCAGTGAGTAAGCCACTCACTCACCATGGGCTCAGAACCCACACATTCCGTAGTTTACAATTGTGTCGTCACAACTTCGTGACTTATCCTTGGTACTTCAGGATTTCTTCTTCCATTGTTTCCTGGCTGCCACATGGTATTGTGAATATTAAATATATCAAATCTCCATGGGGAAGTGCAACAGAATTCTTCCTCCGTAAGCTATGCGTGTCGTAAGAGGCGACTAAAATGCCGGGAGCAAGGGGATAGTAACCCCTTCTACTGTATATATTACTAAATTTGAAAGGAGAAACTTCGTTTTTCCTTTTAGGCCACCCCGCCTCGGTGGGATACGGCCGGCGTGTCGAAAGAAAGAAAATCCATCAAAATACTAAGCCAAATTTACGGTCTTGTTAAGGGTTTATCTAGGAGGTTAAAGGCTGTGTACAGTTCTAGACAAGAATGTCAACACAACAATTTAAATATATATACAAGGTAAAGATAGAGAATTTGGAGCTCCATAAATGTCTATGATAATAATAATAGCAGTAAAACTATGATAGTAATAAAAATAATGAAAATAATCATAATATAAAAATAATAATGTTAATAAAAATTGTAATGTAAAAATAATGATAGTAATAATAATCAATAATAATAATAATAATAATAATACTGCTGCTTCTTTTAGGATTGTGATGATAGATTGTGTGAGAAGAGCGAAGATGGTGACGATGATTGTGAAGGAGGCGAAGTGATTGTGTACGACAGGAACAGTGGCACAACCTACACCATACCTGTACAGTACTTGGATGACACCCTCTACGACGAGGTATTTGGCGCCAGGGACCCCGGCAGCCATTGTCTGGGCGCCGGGGGGGAGGAGGGTAGCGGTGCCCAGTGTCTGGGCGGTTCTCTGCCAGACCTGCCCCTGGGGGCAGCAGGAACAACTATCATCCACTACTCTAATGTGCTGGAAGATCAGTGGAAGAACAGTGGCATTCCTTACAAGGTAATGCAACTCTCACCTATTATGCACTACTGCAACAATTCTCAACTAACACAATACCATGACTGGAACAATTTTCAGCTAACACAATACCATGACTGGAACAATTCTCAGCTAACACACTGCCATGACTGGAACACTTCTTAACTAACACACAATACCATGACTAGAATAGTTATCAGTTGACACACAATACCATTACTCCTGTGTGCTGAAACATCAGTGGAAGGACAGTGGTGTTCCTTACAAAGTAACACATAATTTTCAAGTAACCTCTTCAAGGTGGGTTCCTTGATGTGGTGAAGAAGTTCTTGATCTAGGGAATTGCACTTTCTCATCTTCCTCAGACCAGATCTAAATCCTTTATCCCTCCCTCTCTTCCTCCTTCCCTATGTTTGGCTTTTGGGGAACTTCCCTCAGAACTCATAGCTCCTGGGTCGAGGAATGAGTATCATTATCCGTTTCATTCTGTTGTGGTCCTCAATGGTTCTGTTTGCCATGGAATCTGGATCATCTGGGGATGTGCTGATCCACACTCCGGAGTCCCGGAGGGTGTCCTTCGGGTGACTGTTGTATCTCTGGAGGCTGCCTGGAGGTGGTGGTTGAAGGAGGTATGCCTTGTGGTGGGCTACCAACCATCTTCTCTTGTCTACCAAGGTGGCTCGGTGGATGTGAGGTTGTTATCCTGGCTTGCTGGTTTACCAGCATGAAGGGTGGGGTAGAGCATGGGTTCCATGTTGCGTCTGCACAACCAGCCACACTGATGGTTCCCTTGGACATGGAGGAGGATATACCATCAGGAAATGAGTATCTATAACACATACCTATAAACTACCTCTTGTCCTCACTCTGGTTACTTCCTCTACTGTCCTCATTCTAGTTACTGTCTCTACTGAAGATTCTTCTCACCAAGATACTTCTAACCTCTCATTATCTTCCCCTTCTTTAAAACCTTCCCTCATCTTTCTTGGAGAGCTGATAGACAAACTCTTTTGACTTCACTCTGCCATAATCTTGTCTAAACTAGATAACGGTACACAAATAACCCACACGAGAGAGAGGAGCTCACGACGATGTTTCAGTCCAACTTGGACCAGTGTGACTTTGTAAATGGTCCAAGTCGGATCAAAATGTTGTCGTAAGCTCCTTTATCCTATGTGAGGGTTATTTGTGTATTGTTCCAGTTGCATTTCATTCCTTCCCGGTGGAGAGCCTATATGCAGAGGGGAATGTTCCATCTTTGTGCAATCACCGTGATGCTCATTGTCTCTGATATTTTGCCCACTCTCATGACCTTCACGATCCTTCTACATACAGGATGGTAATAGACGTTAGTAGAGGTCCATTGTTTGATCACCGCCCCTGTTTACTCTGTCCCTGTACTCTCCATATTCGCTCTCTCTTGGCTTCTCTTCAATTGCCCACTTTATCTGTTCATCTAGCATCTAACTTTTCACATCCCCCTTGGGAGGTTCCAACAGTTTGTCTGTTCTTCCACAACACTGTCGTGTGCTTCTCGCTCTTTTTCTCAAACACTTTCAGTCTCATTCTCATGCCATAGCAGTTTACACTGATAGTTCTAAATCCTCTGATGGTGTCAGGTTTGCAGCAGTGTTCCGGTCAGTGTTGTGCAAGGTCATTTATTAGGCTAAGCTAGCATTTTTACAGTGGAACTGTATGCAGTTCTCATTGCTGCTATTCATATTATATCCCTGTCTACCTCAACATTCCTAGTAGTTTGGTACTTTAAGTGCTTTACAGGCTATTCAAAAATTTTATTTCCCTCATCCCCTCATTCTTCTTATATAACTTTGGCAAAGATGCATTGCTAGTAAAAACCAAGATGTCATTTACTGCTGGGTCCAGCAGGGTCCTGCTGGGTCTGCTGGGTCCTGCTGGGTCCTGCTGGGTCTGCTGGGTTCCTGGTCATGTTGATGTTCAGGGCAACAAGCAGGCAGACTGCTGGATGGTCAGCTGTACATAACCTTCACATTTCATATAGACGTATTCCATTACCAGACTGTTTTACTGTAATGTCTAGCCACCTTCTCAACCATTGGCGACAACGTTGGTCTGAGCTGATTCATAACAAATTATATTCGGTCGAACCTTGTTAAGGATTCTGATCTTTATATCAACACTGTTGTGGCTGGGAGATTACACTCACATGTGTTTGTATTGAACATACACATCTCATTCATGGCTATGTCATGGAGAGGCACCCAGTGCCACTCTCTCACAGTTATCAAGGTTCATTTTCAGTTTGCCATCTACTAATAGACTGTCCTTTCTACCACCGAGCATGAAGGCTTTACCTCCGACATCATCACTGCTGGAGCACCCTGTGTCTTCCCTCCAACACTCATTGGTCACTCATATTATAATAAAACTGACTGTATGTAGTAGGTTTAAGAGCAGTTACTATAGCTACATTGGCTAAATGTGTTTCCAAGCAGTGTTTGGAAACAATTAGCCTTGTAAACCAAATCCTAGAACCACATAAACCATATCTTAAACACCGTTTCTGGTCATTATAAGTTCAACTACTATGTAAACCAGGTCCTAAACCTGATAAACCACAGCCTCCACTTCATAAACCAGGTCCTAAAGCCTGCTTTTGGAACTAAGTCCTTGTGGTCATTACAGGTTCAATTACCATGTATTAAACACTGTTTGTGATAGTTACAGATTCATCTACCAGGTACTAAACCCTTCTTCCGGTGGTTGCAGGTTCAAGTACCACGTAAAGGACGAGCCGGTCGTTGGCTGCCACCCTGGCGTCGTCCCTGCACCTTCTTCATGGAAGGCAGCTGTCGGAGGAGCGACTGCAGGTTCTCCCATGACCTGGCCTCCATCACCTGCAGGTTCTGGCAGGAAGGGGCATGTCTCAAGGGTATTACCTGCCCCTTCCTGCACGGCTACCCTGTGTATGTCACCCCTGCTACTACCCTGCTGCTACCCTTAGTACTGCTATTACCCTTGCTACTATACTCTACTACTACTATCACTACTGTACCCACTACTACTACCATCACTACTATACACACTACACTACTACTATTACCATCACTACTATACCCACTGCTACTACCATCACTACACACTACTACTACTACCATTACTGCTATGCCCACTACTACTACTACTGTCACTACTGTACCCACTACTACTACCATCACTACTATACACACTACACTACTACTATTACCATCACTACTATACCCACTGCTACTACCATCACTACACACTACTACTACTACCATTACTGCTATGCCCACTACTACTACTACCATCACTGCTGTACCCACTACTGCTACTACTACCATCAATACTATACCCACTACTACTACCATCACTATTATACCCAATACTACTACCATGACTATGGCATTGATGTGGGTTAAACCACTGACATTGATCTGAGTTAGTAGGGCACTACGACGCTGGTCTGGGTTAGTTAAGCCACTGTGACACTGGGTTAGTAAGCCACTGTGACACTGGGTTAGTAAGCCACTGTGACACTGGATTAGTAAGCCACTGTGACACTGGATTAGTAAGCCACTGTGACAGGACTAGTGAGCCACTGTGACAGGATTAGTAAGCCACTGTGACACAGGATTAATAAGCCACTGTGACACTGGATTAGTAAGCCACTGTGACACTGTCCATACCCTGAAATTAATACTGCTCTCAGTGTCAACTCTAAAAACAAAATTCTTTCCGAATGGTAAGATAAGATAAGATTTCGTTCGGATTTTTAACCCCGGAGGGTTAGCCACCCAGGATAACCCAAGAAAGTCAGTGCGTCATCGAGGACTGTCTAACTTATTTCCATTGGGGTCCTTAATCTTGTCCCCCAGGATGCGACCCACACCAGTCGACTAACACCCAGGTACCTATTTGCTGCTAGGTGAACAGGACAACAGGTGTAAGGAAACATGTCGAAATGTTTCCACCCGCCGGGAATCGAACCCGGGCCCTCCGTGTGTGAAGCGGGAGCTTTAGTCACCAGGCCACCGGGCCACCGGGCCACCGGGCCACCAGGCCTGTTTTTGTGGCGGTAATGATGCCAGAAGCAGGAAATTTGATGGAATACCCAAGGAATTACACTGCTGCAAATTTAGTGGTCTGGGCACAATTTACCCTTCAAGGGAGGTTCCTTGATGTTGGTGAGGGGCTCTTGATCTAGGGAATTGGATCTGTGCTCCAGTTTCCTGAACTGAGCCTGAATGCCTCCCATCCTCCCCCTACATGCGCTGTATAATCCTATGGGTTTAGCGCTCCCCCATGATTATAATAATAATTATAATGGGCACAATTTTCACAGAGGCGAGTTCACTCACTATGAGTCCTATTTTAAGTCAATTTTCTTTCTTCTTTCAACACACCGGCCGTATCCCACCGAGGCGGGGTGGCCCAAAAGGAAAAAACGAAAGTTTCCCCTTTTACATTTAGTAATATATACAGGAGAAGGGGTTACTAGCCCCTTGCTCCCGGCATTTTATTCGCCTCTTACGACACGCATGGCTTAAGGAGGAAGAATTCTGTTGCACTTCCCCATGGAGATAAGTCAATTTTATTGTTCAAAATTCTTAGCTCTGTCACTAGTATGTCTTCCATTCTACTGAGAACAAGAAACTTGCCCATTTAGCTATTTTAGCTACCCAATAAAGTGATCAAAATTCGGTAATTTGGCGAATATTACAAAAACAATAGAAAAAAAAAGCAGACAAACAATAGTCCAAAATATGCAATGTAAACTGCTGCCACAAAAGCATTAGTCAGGTCTCCAGGTCTCTCCTATGTTACATTTCTTCTGGTCACTAGTCAGGTCTCCAGGTCTCTCCTATGTTACATTTCTTCTGGTCATTAGTCAGGTCTCCAGGTCTCTCCTATGTTACATTTGACTTATATATTGAATTCTTCTTCACATTAAGATAGTATAAGATTTACTCTGTTTCTTGGATAATTAAATATAAGATTGTTCATGGTTTACAGCATCACATTAATTGTATCAGATCTATTAACCCTATCAGGGTCGAGAGGCCCTCTCCTAAACTCGTTCTCAGGGTCAAAAATTTTTCGGAAAAAAAAAATTATTTTCTTATGAAATGATAGAGAATCTTTTCCTGATAATAATGACACCAAAAGTATGAAATTTGATGGAAAACTTACGGAATTATGCTCTCGTGAAGTTAGTGGTCTCGCCAATGTTTACACATCGGCAATTTCGCCCACTTTGAGCCCTATTTTCAGCCAATTCCTGTGTACTAATTGGCAAAAATCATATTTATTTTGCTAGAACTCCATTTTTTCTATCGAATGAGTACAAGAAACCACCCATTTACCAATTTCAACTATCCAATAAAGTGGTTAGAAATTGGCAATTTTGCCAATTTCACACAAATTTCAAAAGATGCCAATTTCCAAATAGGGTCCAGAATAAACAAGAAAGACATTCCTGGCACAAAAATAACAAGTTCTCTGTTCGTTAGTCACATCCCCAAGCCCCTCTTATATTTCTTTGGCTTTCCACTTTTAATTTTTATTCTTACAAAAAATAGAAGATTTACTGTTATGCAGACTACTGCATTAGTGTAGAAATGTTATAAATAATATCAGCGCACTTGTGAAAGAATATTAGACTCGCCAGTTGATGTGTATTGGACGCTTGGCATGATTTGTTTACTTTTGAACTTTGGTAAAAATCGAACATTTCTGCTACTTAGAGCTCAATTTCAAGGTACTTTTCATTGTAAAACCAGTCAAAATCATCTCAATTTCTGTAATATGTCTTCCATTCTATAAAATGAGACCAGGAAAACTAGAATACAACAAAAAATACCATACGAAAATACAGTGCAAAGTCGTTGTTTTAATCCAAAAATACAAAGTTTTTTTTTTTCTCATTACGCACTGTGTGCTGCAGGATTTTTTTTATACTGCGCACACTGACCACATAGACCCATTCTTTCATATGTAGGCCTGCCAGCTTTCTCTCGCTAAATTCAAAGACGCTAGAATTTAGGTGTTCTAATATGTCAATAGCCCTGGTGTGTAAGCCATACTAGTACATTGAAAACCCTGAAAGGGTTAAAAACCAATAAATCAGACTGGGGGTTGTAGGGGGGCCTTACCTGTCCTCTGGAATATCGGCAAAAATCAAATATTTCCGCTATTTGGAGCTCAGTTTCAGGCTACGGTGGACCCTCAGTTATCAGTCGTAATCCATTCCAGAAGCTCGGCCTAAAACCGAAATGGCCAAAAACCGAAATAATATTTCCCATAAGAATTAATGTAAATACAATTAATCCGTTCCAGACACCCAAAAATATTCACAAAAATAATTTTTTATTAATTAATGAATTAAAATAAATACATGAACAATTAAATCAGTATTACATAGCTTTATTGATGACTCTTCTTGACTTATGGAAGATAGGGAGGAGAGAGGGAGTTGGGGTTATTGTTTGAAAAGGGGAATCCCCCTTCATAAGGACGTCAGGAAAGAAGTCACTCTCTGGGGTTACTTCCTGTCTTTGTCTTTTAATGGCACTAGGACCAGCTTGAGGGTCACCATACACCTGTTGCACAAAATAACTGTCAAGAATGCTCTGTTTCTGGCACCTCTTTAAGGGAGGAATTTCCAATTTTGGCCAACTCTCAACCAAAAATCGAAAAATTATGGAAATTGATTTATATATACCGAAAAATAGCTTAACTCTTTGGCAACACAATGGTACAAGAATCAATGTTCTAAGACGTTTCTACAAGAAATTATAGTCATTTATATCAGGTATGGTAACGGCGATGTAGGTAGCGCGTCTGTTCTCAACCCATGTATTTTTTGGAATTTTTTCCTTGTTTTTATTGCTTTTTCTTTGCATTATTCTTTCTAATATAATAATTGATTATTTGGCATCATATAAGAGTAGGTGGAGCTTATCAGTAGAGTGCCAGCCAATCGGGAGCCATCTGAGAACACTCGGCAGTACTCCCCCTCCAGATGGTGCCAGGTGAAATCACTTCATTATTACGTTTATATCAGCTTATATATCAACTATACGGCTTATTTGTCTATCAGAATTGATCTAATATGATATAATAAACACTATAAATAACAAACAAACATGTTATATACTCTAGACTGAATAAAATAGGCCATAATATAGCGAGAGTCCACCAGCAATATTTCGATATAAATGTGTTACTCCTCGTCTCCTTGTTCTATTGTTTGGTATGTGAGTGATAGAAAACGGTATTTTGAAGAGGATAACTGCACTAGAACATCAGTTTACTAAGAAATACACCGAAAAAAAACGCGATTTCCGCGCAAAAAAAATTTTTTTTGAGACGGTAGGCCTGCCGGCGTTCTAGGCCTATATCTCGGAAGTAACTTTTTCACATATTTCGCTAATGTACACCATTATTAATTATTGTATTGAAATGATTTTCACTGACAATATAAAACAAAGTGTGTTTGAAAATGTGAGGCTTCTTTTTTTGGAATATATCAAATATTTTTGATTTTGTGGGAGGTAAAAGGCAGATATTTTGGTGAATGCCAAAAAGTCTATCAAAAGTATTTTTTTTTTCCATGATAATAAGACATATTAGATAAAACATGTCCCGCCAAAATTAGTGTCAGATGTATTCTAACGGTTGGGATTGTCGGAAGTGCCACTCGAAGTGCCATTTTGTCATACCTTGCTGCCATATATGAAAAGTCATTAAATATTTTTTTCTCTGTTGTTTGTTGGCCAATCATACTGAAACTTTGTCACATTCTTCTACATATGAACCTCTAAATGTACACCAAAAATAAAAAAAATTGGTTGAAAAATAAAAAATTGGCCAAAATTGG